GAAGAGATCAGAGAGAGACAAGAGAGGAAGGTATACTTAATAACCAACACTTAACACATTACAAATAAAACGAACTTTTTGTAAACTGTACAGGAAGTACCATCCCATTTGTCCAGTTGTCAGGTCTCTGCACTGGCTTCCTGTGGCTCAGAGAAAAGACTTAAACAAACTGACTTTTACCTTATAAAACAAAAGTTTTCCCTCTAAATTAGGTCTTAATTACTGCTTTCTTTTCGCCGTCAGTCCATTCAGGTCGCATCGATATGATGGCATTTTAAAACCACAGTTAACCTTAATACCACTTATCGGCTCCCTAATCCACCGGCTGCTCATAAGCACATGGTCTTTTCTCTGCGCTGTGCACGAGTGATAAAAATCCATTGAGTTTCCGTTGTCCCAGTTCCACACGGTCGATACGTAAACCCGCTGTGACACATCCACTCAGTGTGAGCTGCAATACACACCAGTCTTGCTATAGAACTAGGCTTTCTACAGCCGTGCAGACAGATGACGTATATATAAAGTTTCAAAAATAGAAAGGGAAGGAGCAGGTACTGGAGTTTGTGAGAGACATTTTAAAACCAGGTCACATCAGCTCGTCCCGAAGAGACTGTAGTTTTTACATTGTGGTGGAGCGAAGCTGAGAAGTCCTGCCTGATAATTAGGGCTTAGAGAATAAGATTGTCAAGGTTAGAGTAGCTAGTGCTGTATCGATCTTGCAGTAACTTTGTTGTTTCTATTTTGGCCAATCACACGCGACCTTAATTGCGCACCCCTATGAGTTCTGTCGATAGGTCCAAGTGAAAACAAGCAGAGAAAGACTGGCAGAGGCAGACCAAGCCCTGGGTCTCCAAGATGTCTGACCAGAGAAGTATACCAGAGAGAGAGACCAGAGAGACCAGAGAGAGACCAGAGAGAGAGATCAGAAAGCGACCAGAGAGATTCCAGGACCATAGTGAGAGAGACGGAGATTGGAGAGAGACTGAGATCAGAGAGAGACCAGAGCGAGACTAAACAAGACCAGAGAGAGAACAAAGCGACCAAGACGGATATTGGAGAAACACCAGAGAAAGACAGAACAAGACCAGAGGGGCTGAGACAGAGAGAGAACACAGAGAGTGAGACCAGTGAGAGAGACAGATCGAGACCAGAGAGAGATACAGAGAACCAGAGAAAATAAAGGTCATGCTATACTAGCAGCTATATAATGTTGTTGCAGTGTACACACAGTGTATGAGAACACTGTGACAAAAACCACACAAATTTACACACAAAAATGTGTCAAACAGCGAGACCATGAAAGGTGAACCGTGTCGTGCTGTGAACTCAGACCACCCGAGGCCTGAACCATGACTTCAACCTTCTGTATCGATTTAGTATGAATGACGAACTCAACATCCGGCTGGAGATTCCTGTGGCTTTAAATTACAGTCTTTTTCTTTTGGTTTTCATCTCCAGTGACCCCCCTCCCCTCCACATGCCCACCCCCAAACACACGCAGGTCTGGTGGGAGCACTTTGCTGACAGAGGCCCTTGACACGTCCACTCTTCTCCAGCTGAGTCCAGGGGAAAGCATTTCTCAGCATCTGTCCGCGCTATCACCATCGCCCACGCATTGTTCCGTTCTTCTCAGTGGGAAAGGAAAGAAAGTCGAGATGGATCCAGATCTGTGGGGAACAATGGACTTTATAACACACTATTGTCATCAGCAGAAAGTCCAGGAAATCTACAAGGTTTAAGCACATTTAGTAGATTCAAAAGGCTGCAGCGTGAGTCCTGACCATCGGGGGCGGGTCCCGGCTCCAGAAGGTCCATGTGCTCTGACGTCCTCTTTGCTCTCAAAAACAGCTTCATAGGATGGTCCAAAAGTTGGCTCTTGGACCAACGCGACATTCCAGATGTGTGTCAGTGCTATATATTCTTTTTGGACCAGACTAGTTTAGCCTCTGTGGACTTCTGAATGCACTTGTTCAATGAGTGGGGCTAGTGCACATAGAAGGCAAAAGCACATACGTTTCAACGGCAGAAATAGGTGGGACTACGTCCATCAATATTTACAGTCCATGGTACCAGACTAGAACCAGGAAGTACCATCACAATAGTCCAGTTCTCAGGTCTCTGCTCCTGTGGCTCAGAGAATGGAATTGAAACAGCTCTGTTTGTTACAAGTCATTGGCTTCGCACCAAAGTACATCTGTGACATGTTAGAGCCATATGAACCATCGGAGACTCTGAGGAGCACAGGGACTGGCCTCCTGCTGGTGCCCAGAGTCAGGACTAAACATGGGGAGGCATTGATTCAGATTCAGGAAGCTAACGTCTGTAACAGTCTTCCTGAAAATGTGAGACACAGGCTTCTTCTCTAATAATGTTTGAATCCAGGTTAAAACAGTTCTGTTTAGCTGCAACAACTGAAGGATTGTATCTTTCTAATGCACTGTGGTTATTTATGATTTGATGCTTGGTATGAGTCAATGGGATCCAGAGTTTGGGCTCTTCTCTATTGTGCATCATTAAGCTAGCACGTTAGCATCGTCCATTTGTGTACAGCCTTTGGAGCGTTTTGAGAAACTAAACTTAGAGTAATGCTGCGATGGGAGCGAAAAGTCCACATAAAGATCACAGGGAAAAGTCATAAACGCCGAGACCTCTAGACTTTCTCAGCTCGGGTCGTCACAGCGTGAGGAGTCGCTTCAGAGGGGCCGTAAGGAGTCCAAGTGGGAGGTGTTGTTGACCCCCATGGGGGGAAACTGCTGTGCTATGATCAGGGTTATGATTAGAGCCCAGCGGGAAAGTCTGCACTCAGCTCCGTGTAACGAGATTCATGGAAATGTGAGAGGAAGAGTCCTGCTTTGCCCCGAGAGTTAGAGATGAGAAAGAGATTACGTTAAAGCTGAGGACCTTTAATTTCATAAATAACTCTGTCTATGAGTAGAATGTTGTGAACCATTCATCTTATTAGAAAACTTTTAAAATATTTTTTACGTAAGAAATAGCCTTGCTACTGCTACTACTGCTACTACTGCTACTACTACTACTACTACTGCTACTAGTACTACTACTGCTACTACTGCTACTACTACTACTACTACTAGTACTACTGCTACTACTACTACTGCTACTACTACTACTGCTACTACTACTACTGCTACTGCTACTGCTACTGCTACTACTGCTACTGCTACTACTGCTACTACTGCTACTGCTACTACTGCTACTGCTACTACTACTACTACTACTACTGCTACTACTGCTACTGCTACTACTGCTACTGCTACTACTGCTACTGCTACTACTACTACTGCTACTACTGCCACTACTACTACTACTGATACTACTGATGCTGCTACTGCTACTATTACTACGACTAATGCAGCTACTTCTACTACTTAATACAATGTTGTGAACAATCAGTCTTCCCCTCATTAGAAAACACATTATCTTTTGTGTGAGAAAGATCCCTGTGAGTCACTATTTGGCTCTTTGGGCTCAGAGCTGATTGGCTGAGTGAGGCTGGTCCTCTCTTTGTCACTTTTTCTTCTGAAAAAGCCAATCTAAATTTGTGACATTGACCAGAAATAAAGCTAGTGATAGAAGCAAAGGAAGTATGTGCAGATGATTTTACAGTTGTATGTTTTGTTTTTGCCGCATGTTGATGTTTTGTAAGAAGCAAAACCAAAGCATCAGACAGAGACATGTAATTACCTCCGATTTCACAGTCATCAGAAGATCCATTATTTCATTTATCACAGATGTGCGTCCAACCATTTATCCAGTTCCATTTGCTAAAGGCGTTCGACCGCTGGACTGAGGAGTGTCTCATTATCATGTTGTGGATGCCAGACTTGTTTGTGAGAAAAGCTGAAGTGAGTGATGCCACTGCTTTTCTCTGGTCAAGTCAATTAGTACTTGTGGCATTCATGCACAAGTGGACTTTGGTCTCTCTCTTGTCGCTCTCTGGTCTCTCTCTCTGGTCTCTCTTTCTGGTCTCTCACTCTGGTCTTTCTCTGGTCTCTCACTCTGGTCTTTCTCTGGTTGCTCACTGGTCTCTCTCTGCTCTCTCCCTGGTCTCTCTCTTGTTCTGGTCTCTTACTCTGCTTTCTCTCTGCTCTCTCCCTGGTCTCTCTCTCTGGTCTCTCTCTTGCCCCTCTTTTGTCTCTCCCTTGTCTCCCCTGGTCTCCGCTCTTTCTCTGCTCTCTCTCTGGTCTCTCTCTGGTCTCCCCATAGTCTATTTGTTTATTCAGGATAAGTGTCTCTTGTGGCTTCCCTGCTCGAGTGGACTTTCTCTTATTGCCGCCCAATTAAAACACACACATATTTGCACCAGGAAAGCGAAATCTCACTTCCTCCTTGTGTCTGTCAGAGAATAAACAAACAGGGAGTAAGTGACAGCTCTGATCCTGCTTCTGCTTCGATCTCACATTTCACCAACACAGAAAAATGCAGTTATTCAAGTTTATCTTTTGCATCTGTCCTCTCTTTGTCACTTCTCTGTCTGATCTAAAGATGTGACAGAAACACATGAAAACTAGTGATAGAACCAAAGAGCTTTCAGAGCTTAAGCGGGTCTCGGCCTGGTCTCTCTGTCTAGTCTCTCTCTGGTCTCTCTCTAGTTTTTTCTGGTTTCTCTCTGGTTTTCCTCTCTAGTCCCTCTGGTTTCTCTCTGGTTTCTTTCCGGTCCCTCTCTCTAGTCTCTCTGGTCTCTCTCTCTTGTCTCTCTCTGGTTTCTCTCTGGTCCCTCTCTCTAGTCTCTCTGGTCTCTCTCTCTTGTCTCTCTCTGGTTTCTCTCTCTAGTCTCTCTCTGGTCTCTCTCTCTGGTTTCTCTCTCTAGTCCCTCTCTTGTTTCTCTCTGGTCTCTCTCTCTAGTCTCTCTGGTTTTTCTCTCTGCTTTCTTGGGTCCCTCTCTTTCTCTGCCCTCTCTGGTCCCTCTCTATGGTCTCTCTCTGGTCTCTGATCCGCTCCTCAATAATAACCATGTGTATATTTCTGGGTTTCCGCAGGTTGCAGCCCGAGCCGGAGTGTATCGCATCCTGGACCGGTTGGGATTCTCCGAGTTCGAAAACCCCAGAGACACAGACTTGGCTCGACTGCGCCACCGGTGGCAGCGGCAGGAAGTGCGGCAGCTCCCGGTCCGAGGCCAGTTCATATGAGACTGTGTGAACGGAGCAAACCGGAGTCAATCCATATTCAGATTCAGTTTATTTGCAATTTGCAGTAAAGCCACAATGGAATTCATGTAATACATCCAGGCTCATTTCCACTCCATAATTTAGAGATTAGGAATAATAAAGTATTTTTGAAGTCTGGTTCGCGGCCTCAAAGCTAACGTCTCAGTCCTGTAATACTATGATGTCATTGGACCTCTATGACATCACACGCAGAGCAGTTTTCTACCTTTTTTACAACAAAAGTATTACCCCTCAATGATTTTTGCGAATTTATCAACTTTGTTCTTTGCAGTTAATCTCCAGTCTGTGTTTGCAGTCTCCCTCTGGTGGCAGCACAGGGAGTTACAGGCAGAAAGCTTGTTTTTGTACATTTCCTCCATGTTTTCTAGCGCAGACGTTATTTCAAATTCTAGAGAACACAAAGTGACAAAGGAAATGGTCACGTTGTACTTTTTAACAGGTGTGATCACGGCATAATAGTTCCCCTTTAAAGCTGGGGCCCAATCAGAAAAGTCTAGGGTTCTGTTGTGGTCGTTTTCAGACTGTTTTAACTTTTGACTTTTTGTTGCCAGTCGTGTGTTCTGCCAACACACAACTCTGTGATATTTTTGAGTATTTTTCACTCAAAGAATTCAAAACTGTTCAAACTAGAATGTTCTGGTTTCTCTCTGATCTCTCTGGTCTCTCTCTCTGATCTCTCTAGTCTCTCTCTCTGGTCTCGTCTCTCTCTCGGGTCTCTCTCGTTACTCGCAGATGAAGCAGAAGAGGATGGATGAATAAACTATGCCTTCTTTGACTAAATCTAGTGTTTTTAAAGCATTTTTTCATGTGTCCTGTGCTAATGCTACATGGATTTAAGTTAAAACGTCTTAACAGTTGTATTATTTCACTAAAGAAATAGTTGCTGAAATTGTGTTTTTTTATATTCTGTAAATGAAAACGCTGTAAATTGTAACTTGCCTTAAAGATGATATAAAATAGAAGCACCATGTGACGTCTGTTTTTTCATTCTTTATTGTATTTATGGTTCATTTTATGTGACTTTTATTCAGGTTTTAGACCAAGATGTTTGTTTAAAAACCTCTCTCTCTCTTTAGTCTCTGATCTCTCTCAGCTCTTTCCCTTTTTTCTCTCTGGTCTCTCTCTCTCTCTCTAGTCTCTCTGGTCTCTCTCTGCTCCTTTCATGGTCTTTCTCTCTGGTCTCTCTCGCTTTCTCTGGTCTCTCTCTCTAGTCTCTCTTGTATCGCTCTCTGGTCTCTCTCTAAATTTTACAGCAAACATGCAACTGCTACTTTTACCTATTTCACTTATTGTTGTTACTTTAAGAACACATTAGCCCCGTCATAAACGAGGGACCATTAGAAACCTGTTCTTTCACACATGGTTTGCAAAGACGTCACACAGCAGGTTCCTCTGACTCATTGGATAATTATAGCTTTTGACCATTAACCTACATCAGCATCATCTCATAATGGACTTTTGAAGCGCTCCAGGAAGAAAATATTACATAAAACTTCATCTTTTGTGTGTTAGAAATATTTTTTGGTACTAATCAAAAAACTAAAAAGATAGCTCCTCCCGATCTACAGCCTAAGTCCTGGATCTACAGCCTCAGTCCTGGGTCTACAGCCTAAGTCCTGGATCTACAGCCTCAGTCCTGGGTCTACAGCCTCAGTCCTGAATCTACAGCCTCAGTCCTGGATCTACAGCCTCAGTCCTGGATCTACAACCTCAGTCCTGGACAGAAGCTTATATAACCCCATATATGTTTTTTCCGAACAATCTCCACCATTGATCGGGTCCTGGCCTCGTCTCCGCTCGGTCCTTTGCATCCGGACCCTGGGCCTGTTTCCACCTCGCGTCCGAAGCCAGAGGATCCGGCTCCGACACAAATGCATCTTTGTGCTGCGTATGGTCCATAATAAGAGGCTTAGCGCTCTTCAAAAGGCCGAGCTCTCTGCGTTTGATGTGGACAGCTAACGTCTTAATTAAAATCTTCTTCCATGAACAAAAAGAAAGTCTGTGTGAGGATTATTAAAGCTCTTTGAAACGGGAATACCTGGAGGTGGTTCCTTATCTGCTGTTGGCTTCAGCTGTGAGGAAGTTTCCGTTAATCGGGAAAAGAGAAAGACGAGTGCATGTGTTTGATTATAGTTTCTGCTTTGGTTTATGGATTCCCACGTGAGAGAGAGACGGAGAGAGTGGGGCCAAAAGTCATCAATCGAAGAAATGGAAGAGAACAGAGGTTGGAAGAGAAAGAGAGAGGTTGGTATAGTAGATAGAGAGGGGTAAGAAGCTGTTTACACGGAGACGCTGCGACAGTATAATGTTTATATCGATTTGGCCTCCTGTTTTCCTGAAGACGGTGTTTCAGGTGAAAACACAAGCATTGAGAAACAGCCTCCAGAGGAACAGAACAGGTCGCTGCTCAGGTCCTGTTTCACAGCTGTGTGAAGAAAAAGGTGTTATGACATCGCCACTTCCCCGCACGTACATTTGGACATGTGAAGTAGACGAGAACAAACGTCAACAACAGTGGCGGCGGATGAACGGGATCTATGTGTGCTTCGAGCGCTGCACGAAGAAGAATTCTACTCCTTCGTCCAAACAAAACCATATGGTTTTGTTTTCCACTTTCACTGCTGTTGTTAAATGCAGAATGATGTAGGTTCTTCCCCGTCTTTGCAGTGGCCTGAGGAGGATGTTGTTGAGGAAGTGGTTAACTGCTGTGGTCATGAGTGTCGTGTTGTAAAGTTCCACTGCCCTCTACTGGTCAGGCGCTAGAACTACATTGTTTTTTGTTGTGTTGTAAACGCTGCACTTCAAATACGGAGCCTGGTCGCTTTTGGAAATTGCTTTGCAGCGTCTCTTTCTAAATGGGGCCTGAGTTGGTACTGTAAGTACATAGAAAAATAGATAAGAGAGAGTCAGAGGAAAGTTGGTAGATAGATAGATAGATAGAGAGAGAGAGAGAGGGGTAGGTTGCTATATTGCACATTGTGAATTCGGGCGTTCTGCTCTCCCAAAATTTCATCCACTGAGCGGCGCTGTGATCAAAAAATGACACCGTTTGTTGCCCAGTTCACTTCCGGTTGATTTCATACAATGGCGAATATGGCTCACGAAAACAACACACGATTGACAGTGCCTGAATTGCGTGAAAGGTTGAAGCGAAAGGGTATTTGCAGTGTGGGAAAACGAAAGGAGGAATTGTTGTTGCTAGTTCAACGAGCGGATGGTGTTTATGAAGATTTAGAAGAAGATGACAGCGAGCAGAGTGAACGAAAACGGCTGTGTGTGCGAGTGACAGATGGTAACAATGAGAATGAAGTTCAGCTAAGAGGGAAGAATGTGAATTGGACGGATGATTTAGCGGCGGCACACTTGAAGCCCATGATAAAACCGGATTCAACAGAAAATGACAAAAACACTCAACCATTTAGAGAAAATGCGCCGGGCAGAGAGAACCGGAAGTTGCGAAGGCAAGTGTTACCCATAATGCAACGCAAAATTCAGTCGCTCCCCCGCCCATCGGATGGAATTTTGGGAGAGCAGAACGCCCGAATTAGCTTGAAATTGTCCCAGTGAAAGATCAGATTCAGATTCATTTTATTTCCCATCTGGAGTTCAACCACATTGGAATACATTTGCAAAGAGACCTGGAGTTAGCAGACGCCACTGTCCGCTGGTCCCTATGGCGGCCCTCAGATAAGCCCAGGAGCAGCGGGGCCCGGAGCTGAGGGCCCGATAACACGGCGTCTTTGAACCCGGCTGCGTCTGATCCACCGCGATGTGAAACCAGACCCCAAACAGCACAGATTAGCGTCCACAAAGGGCCCTATTGAAGCAGGAGGATGTGGGCTTGTGTATCGGAGGATATTTGCTTTTTTCTGCGCAGGCAAAAGTCATGGACACCTACGCCTTTCTCCGTTCTGTAATAACGCAGGTACCTTTAAGGGATATTTGGTGTTGGCAGATGTTAAAGGCAGGGACGGATCGCTGGACAGGCTAATAAAAAAACTGATGAGGAGATATGTGGCGTTCATTCATTTCAAAGCAAAATGTAATCTTTGTCTGGTTGTTGTCTGGTTGCCATGTTTCGATCATTCATGTGTTTTTCATGAATTGAGCTAAATTAGCCACATGCTAACACGACTGGGTTAGTTGATTGTTTTAGCTTCGCTGTCTAGACCAGACGTATTCAGGTTTTCATTTCATCTGGTCCAGGTTCAGACTGGTGCTTGGTTGGAATGAAAATCTGCAACGAAGACCCCGACTATAGGCCCTCAGACAGGTCTCCCATCTCAGTACTAACGAGGCCCTGCTCTGCTTAGCTTAACTCAAGGCCACATGATAAAATAGAGTCAGTTGATGGAGACCCAGAGACCAGAGAGAGAGACCAGAGCGAGACCAGAGAGAGAGACCAGAGCGAGACCAGAGAGAGAGACCAAAGAGAGACCAAAGAGAGACCAGAGAGAGAGAGACCAAAGAGAGACCAAAGTGAGACCAGAGAGAGAGAGACCAGAGAGAAAGACCAGAGAGAAACCAGAGGGAGACTAAAAAGAGACCTGAGAGAGACAAGAGAGAGACCATACAGATACCAGAAAGAGAGAGACCATAAATTCCCTGCATCATATAGTTCATTCTCACATTCTGTACATTCCTCTGTGAATAATCTTTCCATAAAAATCCAACTTGGAGTTCTCCCAGAGGTCTGAGTGAGAGCCGGGTCTGAGCCAGGACCAGGAGCAGGACCAGGAGTGGAAAAAGACCAGGCCTTACATCACTGCGACTGGACCTGGGCCCGTCCCCAAGTGGAACTAAACTTTTACTATGTATTTTTCCACTTAAGCCTCTTTTATTAAACCATAAACACTGAGGATTCTGTGCTGGATCAGGGAGACTCGAGCTGCGGCGAGAATATATACTGGATTATAATCTGATTCAGGAGAGACCAGAGAGAGACCAGAGAGAGACCAGAG